GTGTGATGCAAATTTAATACTTAAGTTTATAAAGGAAAAGAGCATCTCAATATTCACAAATTGATGAAAAAACTGAAAGTTAATAATGTAGTACCCTCATTTCTTATTGTATTTCTAAAAAACAACATTTATAATGAATTTTAATAATTTTTTCGGATTTTTTTGAAGCTTTAATCCGACCGATTCAGCCGATTCCCGATTCGGATCGGTTTTTGAGGTGCCCGATCCGAGTCACCAATCCACTTTTTAAATAATTGGTTTACCAGGTTAATATGAAAGGTATATATTGTACTCAGTATATATAGGAAGAGTAGGTACAATATCTTGTATTTTATTGTAAGTCTAGATATAGTATAGGTACCTATGATTTATTTATATTCTTGTTATTTGTATTTGTCTATTTAAAACAAGCTTGTATATGCATATTGCTTAATGAACTAAGAGTCTCTTGGAAGAATCCTTTCGTATAATCAACTAAATAAATATTCAAGAATTGGACTTGAGCTTGACTACTTAGCAGTTGATGTAAATACCAAATACATATATATATATATATATATATATATATATATATATATAACTTTGAAGGTATTCTTCTACCCAACCAAAGTTAATCCTGCTTTTTATACCAAACTATCACCTAATTACCCGAAAAAAACTACGCAAAGCATATAGATGAAAATGAATAGTGTTTTCTCCTATCGGATGGTGTGGATTAACAAATTGCAACGGCTCTGCTATGTCTGTTGCGATACCGAAACAGACATAGTAGAGCTATTGCGATCAAATTTTCATGCAAAAAATGCAGGATTCTACAACGACTATTATAGAGCAATTGTGACTTTTAAGGCAAACCGTAACAGCTCTACAAGAAATGTTGCGAGCAAAATACTATTCAATTTCGCCTACAAATATTTTTAAGACTTATATATATATATATATAAATATAAGTGAGGAACGGAGAAACCCCTCTAACCAATTTTCATTAATAAGTAGAGAAGCCAAGTACAACTTAACAATCCTACTTTTCATTAATAAGTAGAGAAGCCAAGTACAACTTAATCCTGCTATAGGGAATTTGTGCAACATCCAAAAGTATTCTTTTACCCAACAAAAGTTAAACTTGCTTGTTATACCAATGCATTATCCTAGTTTTATTGACGATGCGACGAATTCAAGTCAATTTTTTTTTAATGAATTTTGAAATCTACTTTAGATTCACTAGATGAATATTACCTATAACAAATCTATCTATTGGTAGGGTCCAGTCTAGTTGATTTTCTAACCACATTTTAAATGTGGCTTAATAATGCAGAATTAAAGGGTCGGGGCTCTGATAAAGTGACTTCATGAAATTCACTAGGGAAAACTTGTTGGAAAATAAATTCAGCATTAGAAAACTTTGTGATGGCTTGCAAATCTATTTTGCCTCTCTCAACTTTCAAGCTCCATAAATGGTGTATATATAGGGGATCTATGAACACTTAAAATGGATGGTCCAAAAAAATATTGTAAAATTAAAAATTCTTTTTTTTTTAAATCTGAGATTATTAAATTTACAAGTACTTGTGGCACTAAACCAATTATTTGAAGGGTGACTATATAATGCCACAAATACTTTTCATATATAAAAAAATTAATAAACCAATGTACCTGTAGGAGCATACATGTCTGTTTACTCTGTCGAGTAAAATTCAACATAGGAATATCTTGAGGACCCAAAATTCTAGAGATGTAACATCCTCATCCTAATGATCAATCTCAAAATAATCTCATTCCATACTTTCTAGAAAAAAAGTAACATCCCAATGCTGAATAGTGTTCAATTTATGAAGGATGAGAACCTCTCAAGTTGTTGTACTGTGCGATCATGCAGAAACATTGATTATGCTCATTGTGTACCCCAAGGAGTTGTTGTACAGTGTGCTCATGCTATACGCGCTATCCCCTTTTATACTGCAGAGGAGAGAGCAGTTTTTTATTTTGAAACATTTATGAGAGGGAGAGAGAGAGAGAGAGGAGGGGAACAGTTAGAGAAAGAGGGGGAGAGATGGCGAGCTCAGAGAAGAACCCAAGAGAAGGGTTTCCAACCAACAGAATAAAGAACTTAATAAGGAGCGAAGGCAGCGACTACCGCATCAATCAAGACGCTCTTTTCCTTATCAATAAAGCTACCGTATTCTTCTTCGTTCTATTTTTGCATTTATATTTACAGATTTTAACTTATTTTTATTGCCTTATTTCTTCAATGTATCTACTAATGTATTTGTTGTTTATGTCTACTATTTATCTGCTCTTTTTCTTTTTTGTATTTTTTCTTTTATGAAGGCTTTGTCTTACTCTGTTTCATATAGGTGCAATTCCTCGAGCAATTGGCTGAAGATGGATTTGCTTGTTTTCTTGAGGAAAAGAGAAAGAAGTCATCTCTCAGTTATGAGCATCTATGTAAGTGGGTTTTTTTTTAACCCCACTTCTTTTTTGTAATGGTGTTTTTATTTTATGACTTTTTTGGTGGGCCATTTTTTGTAATGGCTTATTTGCATGTTTTAATGGTGTTTTATGTTGTATGATTTTTTTGTTTTTGGGTAATTATTTGTTTTTCTGGTGGTGTCTTTGTATTTTAGGACTCATTTTTTGGGGGCCTTATTATTTATAATTCTTTGTGTTATTTCATCAAACAACTGAAAGATTGCAGATACTAGAGCTCTTGATGGTTTTACTTGTATCTAGAGATTTGATATTGAGAGCCAATTTTATTTATCAACTCAATTGTCTTGTTTCATTTCTCTCCAAAGCTTGACCTTGATATTCAGCTTGGCTTCATCTTTTAAGTTAGTTTGTTGGATAAAATGGCACCTGCATTGCTATGAATTAGTTGCACCAAATGATGCCATGACATCGTACAAAGAATTTTCATAACATTAACTTATAAGCTTGATTTAGGTGTGGCACCAATATACTCATAGAATGAGTGTAGCGGAAATGAGGATGTTGAGATGGATGAGTGGCAAGACAAAATGAACACATTTAGGAAAATTTAGGTGTGGCACCAATAGGCGATAAGATGAGAGAGAGTAGATTTAGGTGGGTTGGCCATGTATGGTGCAAACCTAGTACAAATACAACACCTATTAGGAGATGCGAGTTAGTTAAAGTGGAGGCTAAAAAAAAGTAACGGGCAAGCCCAAAAGGATATGGTTGGAAATAGTAACAAACCCTTAATAGAGTAGAATGGCAGACCAGGATTTGTGTAGCCAACCCCAATTAGTTGGGAAAAAGCTTTGATGATGATGATGAACTTATAAGCTTGATTGGTTAGTAATCTGTGTTTTTGATATCATACTGCTTATGCTCTTTATGCTAGGTATGGGGTGTTCTTTTTGGAAATGTATAGGTATGAGGTAGTAATTGTAATGCAAGAAAAGAAAAAAAGAAGGCCAGCAATATGCCGCCATTTTGATAGTCAACAATAGGCATATTCTTAATCTTCTTGCCACCTCTTCCAATTTACAATATGCCTCCATTTTCATCTTTTGTGTGGCAGACGAAGAGAGCAATGCCCACCTCTTCCTTCATTGCCCTTTCACCCACAAGATCTGGGGTAAAGTTCTTAGCCTATTTAAATGCCAGTGGGTCTTACCCGCCAATGTGCCTCAGCTCATAAACTCTCAACAACCTTTCCTGTGGCCTAAAGCAAGCATTTTATTATGGAAATATTCGGTGGCAGCCATGGTTTGGGCATTGTGGATGGAACGCAATAATAGGATCTTCCGGGGTGAACACTTATCCGGGGAAGGCCTTTTCTCCAAGATCAAATCCTCGATCGTCTTCTGGGCAACCAACCACAAGAGCTTCAAAGGTGTTCCCCACTTAGCCTTCTACCTAAATTGGGAGGCCATTCTTCTTTTTAGTCCTAATCGTTTTCCTCGGGCTTCTTTATGAAGACCTCTTGACATGAGGCACCTTAAACTCAACTTCGATGGTGATTCCCTGGGCAATCCCGGTCCATAGGGAATTGGCTCCCTTATTAGGGACCACACCGATGCCATTCTTGCTTCCACTTCCAAGAACATTGGCCACGCCGATTCAATGACCTTCGAAGCTCTCACTTTACTATGGGGGGTTAGGCTTCTAGTCTCCTTTAGGAATGCCCCAATTGTCATTGAGGGAGACTCAAAGAATGTTATTGGATAGGCATCTAAAACTTCTCCCTTCCCTTGGGCTGTAGCTCACATTTTTTGACAAAATTGAACACCTTTGCAGGGATATGCTCGTCTCATCGAAGTATGTTGGCCGGGAATCAAACCAGGAAGCCGACACCCTCGCTAAGGATGCCGCATGTATAGATAATTCGCGGTTATTTTTTGATGGGCTCATTTTTTATGGCCTCTTAATGCTCTGCTCTGGTAATTTTGCTGCAAGAAAGGCCTTTATTTCTGTTTCTTTTTTACACCCTTTTAGGTGCTTTCTGTAAATAGGGCTTCCGCCTGTGGATAGCCAATATTTTTTGCTATTTGTATCCCCCTTTATTCAATTCAATGTTAACATATTCAAACAAACACACGTATTTTGATTTAGAAGAAGCGGTGCTTATCTGGATGCGAAATAGCAATGTTTTCTTGGAGTGGACATGGACATAAAAGTGGGCTTCAACATTCTCTTTCTGGAAAGAAAGAGTGCCTAAATCAACCTAAAGCATCATATTATACGTTCTTATAGTTTCTAGCCTTTTTTTTGGTGTAAGTATATAGTTTCTAGGCTTGAAGAGGGTAGATCAATGCATGTCTAAAACTATTTGTTAATGCAGATTTCTAAAACTATTTATCTCATTCTTAGTGGGAACTGGCACAGTAAGATCCATGTGTGTTAGAAGAGTTAGGATTTAGGAAAGATGCATGCATGTTAGAAGAGTTAGGATTTAGGAAAGATGCATGCGTGTTAGAAGAGTTAGGATTTAAGAGAAAGTTAAATAATAAAAATGAGGGTTTTTACCATCCAAACTCTCCACTCATTATTTTCATTGTTTAGGTGCCAGGGGATCGGAGATTTACCATTATGGCATTCTTTTACCCCTAAGTATTGTAGTAAAAAGTCTGCCAATAAATAAATAAAATAAAAGAAGAACCCGTGGATGGTTCTGTTTTTAGGAATTGTGTGGGTTTGTGTGTATACATTGTTTTGTATTGGTAACCGTATTTTCTAATATCATGCAATCCAGATCGAACAGCGAATGTACCTAGCACGATCCTTGTTGTGATCTTTTGTGTAGACGGTATGATCCATGATCTCAGCACAACCGTATGATTCACTCGCATCAAATCCATATATGAGTGGTAACTAGTGAAGTGCCGGGTTTGTTGTAACACATCACCTTAATTTTTTGCTCCTTGAAACCAAAGTGTACTAGTTAAATTCGTGTGAATTGAATTACTAGTTCACCGTAAAAACCTTTTTCTGTCTTTCTTCTCTAATGAGATGAGATCTTTTCTTTTCTTTTCTTGTTTTTGAAAGAACCCTCTAATGAGATTAGTATCCATCAAAGTATATTTTAAATTAAAAGTTTGACTTGCAGCCTGGTTGATTTATATTCTTATTATAGTTTTATTGTCAAAGGAATGTGATACCTTTCACTTGTGAAATGTAAGTTTTAGATATAATTTTTTGATTCTTGGGATCTGCTTTTGTCATCTCAGCATCAGCTGTTCACAAATCGAGAAGATATGAATTCCTTGAAGGTATTCTGTTAAACAATATCTTTTTCATGACCCGTCCATGTTCTTATCATCTTATATTTCCAATTCTTCTACCAAAGATTGGAGTGTATATTTGCTAATTATTTGACCGTCTTTATGCAGATTTTGTGCCCCAGAAAGTGAAAGCTGCAGATGCTTTAAAAGATAACCCATTAGTGGAAACATGAGGCAATTGTGTTGTCAATGGCTAAAAACTGTATCTGAAGTAATAGAGTTCGGATTATCTGCTGCAACTTGGAAAATACCTTTTGGGATCCTTTGTATTTGATTGGTCCTCTATCCATAGTTTTGGTTCTATTGTTTTCTGCACCTTTAACTAGATTGACAGAACTCAATTTAAGCACTGTAGCATCTTTTTGTGATGCATGTATGAGTTTTTGTCATTCCATGTTTGGATTCATCAGAGTTATCCTTATGATTCAATTTTACATTCATCAGAGTTATCCTTGTACGAGTCAAGGACAGGTGAAGCATTGGTTTCCAGTCCGTCAAAACATGCTATAAAGTTGTAGAGCCCGTTTAGTGATACTAGCATTCTGACTTTATTTTGTGGAAAAGAAAAAATATTCTGACCTTATCAACTAGTCAATACCCAGCTGGTATGTGTAAATGGTTAAAAGAATAACAAGGAAAGTTTTGTTACATTGATGAGTATTAGGTACATTGAACTCCCGAAATTGTGTACATTTACATTGGCCTGGAGACTCTTGTATGTAGTTCAACGTTAGCCAGACAAAATTTTGTATCTCAATGAATTATGGTGATATGTTGGTTAGTTTGGTATGTCTCCTAGTATTTAGCCATGTTGAGGGAACAGGGCCTATTAATTTTGATTTAGGAGGAAAGTGAAGTTTGGTTTTGGGAATAAAAAGGAATTAACTGTTGTTTTTGGTACGCTTTGAATCATGGGTTGTGCTCTGAGAAGCAGATCTCTCCCCAATTGCGACACTAAAGTGCAGGCTCTCGTGGCTGTGTGTTATGCAAAACTGTTTGTAGCTATATTTGTCTGGAATTAGGACGTTGATTGTTTCATATGCTTATCTTAATCCAACATTAATATCTGATAACATAACCATGTCAATATGATGATGCCACATCCTTTCAGCAAGAAACTGGCACATATGCATGCCAATATTTAGCAACTGGAAAAGACGCACAAAAAAAGAAGTCAAAGATAAAAAGAAAAGAAAACAGAGATCTATGTTAGATCTTTGAATTGTTGTTTTTCATTTTTTGAGATCTCATTTGAGTCTTGAACTCTCCAGTCAGGCATGCCATGGAACCTGATTTATTAGTAAAAATCAAGTAGATATAAACTTATTAAGAAAAAATAAAACCAGCAGGCAGATTCAGTGCACAGTTGCTCCAGCTTTGGATATATTTTTGCCCATCAAACGTTCAGCTGTAGGATATTTTTGCAATCAAATGGAAGAATGATCTCATTGATTATTTGGTTTTATAGAAATAGTGAACTGCCTGCTGAAATAAAAGAAATTATTTCTCCTTGATTTGAAACAATCTACTTGAACACAGTTTGTTCTATTGCCCAACCACTACAATTAACATGGAATAGGGCTACTATATTCATCCTTAATGCTATAAAGAAGGTAGTTTCTTCTGTTAATGAGAGAGAATTTAGGATTGTGCTGGACCTGAGGCTTGTCATTATTTTATGAGCTAATCCAGGCACGAAGGTCCCAAACAGTCTCATCTTGAGATAGAGAGACCATTTCCTGTACTGGGATAATTCAACCAGAAAACTGTGACTTTCTTAGGGTATCTTTTATTACACATTAAAATTTGTCAGCCTAGTTTCTCAAAGAAAAGATAAACTCAACCTGACTCGCCTTATTGAAGTGCTTTCCAGGCTCTGCTTCGATAATGTTGGCATGAAGAGATGCAAGAGGAACCATTTGTTGAAGCAAAATGATGTAAAATGATGTAAGCATGGCCTGTTATCTCAAAAAACTATACAGTGTTTTTGGTATCTCCCATGGTGGTCTCACATTCAGCTCAGTATAAAATGATTTTGAAGCCAAATAAAGCAAAAAAATATATTACAATAGAAAACTTCTACGTCAATCAACACTAATAATAGAATTTTGGGATTATAATCCCACACAAAAGAATGAGTACCCAAAAATCTGATTTCAGAGAAGTAGAGTTGGATGCTTGAGGTCCTCTCATTGGGAGCAATTGAACTCCTATAGACTACTCGATTCCTTCAGACTTTGAGAGGCATTCTCGTAGTTGAAAGACTGATACCCTGATGGACTAGACAAATGACCAGAACCACTACTGCTTACTGATCTCTCAATGTCTTCTCTACCTGCAACAAGAGGGATCGGCCTCTCAGGAATGGCCGGGATAGCTAAATCGCTCTCTAAAATCTTCAAAATTTGATCCATGGTTGGCCTTGCATGCATTTGAGGATGAGATGAAAGGACAGCAACTAATACATATTTCTCCATGACTTCAGTTGAGCCCAAATCAGCCATGCCTTGTTCAATGACATCCAAAACCCTTCCTTTCCGAACAAGAGACCAGGCCCAATCTGTCACAAGAGAAGGCTGGCTTTCACTATTAGAAACAAGGGCCTTTTTGCCACTCAGAAGCTCAAGAAGCACAACCCCAAAGCTATATACGTCGCTCTTTTCGGTAAGCTGACCATAAAGAGCGTATTCGGGTGCTACATAGCCCATTGTCCCCGCTACCCTTGTGCTTAAATGGGTCATTCCCTCTGGTGTAAATTTGGCCAAACCGAAATCAGCCACTTTGGGCTCGAAGCTCTCATCCAAAAGAATATTGCTAGCTTTTATATCCCTATGTATAATTGCAGGTTGTGCACCATAGTGCAAATAAGCAAGCCCACGGGCCATTCCTACGGCTATCTTATGACGAATTGGCCAACTCAATCTGTTCTCTGATGAACCAAATAGATGATCATGGAGACTTCCATTTCTCATAAGGTCACAAACAATTATCCGCTGATGGCCCTCCATAGGTGTAGTGGCAGTGCAAAACCCTCTCAATGCCACTAAGTTCCTATGCCTAACGCTTGCAATGACTTCGACTTCGTGAACAAAGCCTGCATCGCCAGCAGCTGAACAATTCTTGAATCTCTTCAAGGCCACTTCGGTCCCATCAGCCAATGTCCCCTTATATACATTCCCATAGCTCCCCTTCCCAATGATGTTATGCCTTGAGAAATTACCAGTCGAGGCCTTAATGTCCTCGAAGGTGAACCTCACCAAAGTGGCGCTTGTTTTCATTGAATCCAACCCTGAAGCCACATCCTTCTCCATCAAGGACCTCCTCTCTATAGCTCTCTTCCTGTTATATCTCCGAGCTCGCAAAAACCCAAGTGCAAAAACAGCTCCAATCAACACAAGGCAAGCGACCACAAGTCCATAAACCCAGGCCTTGTGTTTCTTCAGGTTTGAAGGCAAAGGCAAAAGGAACAAACACAAAGCGGTTCCTTGATCCGTAGGCCCATATTGGTTCACCAAAGCAGCTGCATAAATTGATGCGTAATTAGAGCAAACAGTCATATTACCAATGGAATCACCAGGCAAGTAAGCAGCTTGTGTGCTTGATAAAGTGGCCGTGCAACCAGAACAAGGAGCATTGTTCTCTAGAGATTGATTACAAAGCCTCTTCATATCTCGAATTGAAGATTCAGGGACTTGAGCTTCGAATTGAGCTCGGGTTGTGATATTCATACAACCCTGTGATATCCAACTGGTTTCGAAGCCGCAACTTGATCGAATATTGAAATTGGGGTAAACCCCATGAATTGCAGTCTCGAAATCATTCCAACAAGAGTCGGAGGAGTTTAATGGAGGGAGAAAGAGGCCATTGGTTCTGAGGAATTCTGCGAGGACGAGGTGTAGGCCTTGGAGAGAGTATTGACAGCGACGAGAGAGATTTGCTTGCTTTGCTCCTTCTGCAAATCTTGAGAGGACTGAGAAATCGAGGGGGCAGGTGGTCCGGTTTTGCGAACTGGAGTCCGCGAGCTTTCTGTGAGATTGTATGTGGCCATGAATGGAGCCTCCGTGGTTTAGCAACAAGAGGAGCAGAAGCAGCTGATACATGCCTGTTGAGCTTCAAAAGTTGGGTTTTCGCCCTGGTTTGTATGCATACATCAGAGAGAGAGAGAGAGTTACATCGGTGATTTTCTAAAGAGTGATGTTCTGGTGATTGCCAGGGGATTTTGTCATAGAGAGAGATGCAAGATGGATGTGGATTTTGAGAGAGAAAGAGAGAGGTAGCTCCAATATTGATATGGTTTTAGAGAGAGAATGAAAGTGTTGCAAAATTGATATGGGTTTTGAGCGAAATAGAGAGAGGAATGATGAGTTTTCAAGAGAGAAAAAGCTGCTATCTTGATATAGAGAGAGAGAGAGAGAGTGAGAGAGCTGAGATGGGTTTTACAGGGCTGTTGTAGTATCGATCTGTTTAAACTTTAGATAGAGAGGGAGGAGGGGGGAATTGAGAGAGAGAGAGAGAGAGAGAGAGTGGTGCAGTATTGATGCCTGTTTAGAGAGAGTGTGTGTGTGGTGGGATGGGCTTTGCAGAGATGGAGCGAGAGGTGAAGTATGTTTTAGGGTTATTTCTTGGAAAGGGTGCTTAGAACTAAATTGAATTCTACCTCATCTTCCATGCAGATATGTTCTCAAGCTTATCTCACTCTCACCTCAACTGAAAAAATAAATAAAATTTAAAAACTGCAACGAAAACGTGAGAGCGGAGCTAGGCCAGGCCAGGCCGCTTAGAGAGAGAAAGCAGCAGCCTTTGGTGTTGATCAATCTCCGTCCCTCTAGAAGATGACCACAAAATGTCAACAATGGTGTGTGTGAGACAGAGAAGAAGAGTCGCCGTTGGTGCTTTCATGGAAACCACCTGACCTTGCCCACGAAGCTGCAGCCTCGGTCCAAAAACCACTGCTAAGAAGGACTTTAGAGAGAGAGAGAGAGAAAAAGTTAAAAGATCACAGAGAGAGGGTAGAGTGTTTGATGTGAGATAAGGAGAGAAACAGGTGACTGTTTTCTTTGATAAGAAAATTCCTCTCATTGGTTTATGGCATCACAGGATCTGTACAACGCCAACTAACCCCGTTCATTTTTATTTTAATAAACTGAATTTTTCATCGGGTTCGCTTACTCCCCTAATAGGTGGGGTTTATATGAGGTGGCACTTTTGATATATGTTTTTTTTTTGGTAAATGAGTGGGGTTGACAGGCCCGTCGGGCTTTTTAATTTTAATTAGTGCTTTTTAATTAGTATGGGGTTTTTGAATTAAGTGGAAATGGAAGCCATAATGTGCAATTGAGGTATTGGGATATGTTTTAAAATTTCAAAAATTTAGCAAGTGGAACATATTTATATGGGTTGAAGATGTTACATCCCATGCTTGGACGGTCCTAACAATACTGTTATATTGGGTTTTATCTGGGGGAGTAAATTGAGAGCGTGCTCTATTAGGAGCATGGGATCTTTTAGCTTTTAACTATTTAAAAACACATAATGTGAATTTTTTAAATACGGTTCAAGTCAATTTTAGGTAGATTAAAATGATTTAGATAAAAATTAACTTTAAATTTTTAAATAATCATCACCTAATTTTTAGGTAGATTCCTGTAATTTAGATAAAAAACGACTTTAATATATGGGTTGATTTCTTATCAAGTTTTTGGTGAATAGGTTGAAGAGTCAAACTCCAAAACTCGGGCTCTTAAAAGTCTCCTAAATTTTGTTTCATCCCGAGGAGTGAACCGATAAAATGCTCTTGGCAATATAATATAAAGTACTGGCAAATGTGAAAAAGGAGAAAGTTTATATATCCTTAATAATCAAATGGTGTATAAAAACTGTCCCCTATATTTTCACATTTTATGCTCGTGTCCCTTTGTCTTTTTCCACGTGTTTATATGTTTATCCCCAAATACCCCCAACTTGGAATTATTAGTATATGATTGTGATTATTTTATAGTTCAGGACCACTTTGATTAGCACGCTTTTTTTTTATTTTTTCTTTATTGTGAGTTAGTGGGAAGATGGCCCCCACCCTCGCTAGGAATTGACCTCTTTCCCTATTATCACGCATTTTGACGACAACAAAACTATATGATTCAAGACAATTTTGATTATTATAACATAACTCAAAATGCGTGATAAAAATCATAAATTGAAGCACCAACTGCTTGCGAAGAATGTAGTCTTATTATAAGTGGCAAATATCTTGTTAGATTTATGATAAGAAAAAATGATCAAAATACACCTTATTAATCAATTATTAATACTTCACTCATTTTCGACTCTTCTAATTCGTGATCGTGTGTATTTTGATTAGAAAGTTCATCTCAAATGTACATTTGCGTTTGAGTAAGTTTCACTTATGATTTTAATCCTTTCTTTGGTGGGAAGAGCATTTCAAAGACCGGATCGAGGGGCGGATCGTTCACCGATTGGCGTCGGATTGATCGACCAGCATTCAGGATGCAGATTGTTAAAGAACGAGTATATGATGGTTCAATCATTTATGTATGGATGATTACTTATCCACTAGCCATTCTAAAATGTCAGGTTTCGAAGATGTAGATCCCACATGACAAACCTATCTAGGTAAATGCGTGCTATCCCGATTCAATTATCGCTTCCTATTCCTATATCTGATCTATGAATTGACTTATGCCTCATTAATCGGATGAAATTTAGGGAAAAGCTGTCGAGGAGAAACATATCCCTTCTCTCGCTACCAATTTCTTCTAGATCCGCTATTACCTTGTTTCATCAAACAAATGGGTTCGAATAGATGATCTATAAAATATTTTAAAAATTTAAAATTAAAATAAGAATTTACAGAGACTTAAGAAACCATTAGACAAGAAAAAAATATATATATATATATATATATATATATATATTAAGAATTTACAGTGGCGAACTGGACGTAGTCTCATACCATCTCAAAACTGATTCATTCCGATTCCTATCTAGATCGGCCTTTCGAAACAAAAATCACCGGGACGTTAAACACTGGATGGATCTATTGGCGCGTGTAAACTGCCCTAAGCCGTCGCACATGGATCACTGATTCACATAAAACCGTTGGCGGTAACCTGGTAGCGGGAAACTGGAAGCATTTCCTCCTCGTCACGTCGGAATCTCTCTCTCTCTCTCTCTCTCTCTCTCTCTCTCTCTCTCTCTACATCTATCTATTACTCGTCCTCTCTCTCTCTCTACACTTTATTCTATGCATCCCTATTTCCTTTTTATCAACAGTTAATATTCTGTAATTTGTTGCAGGAGGCTTTGGTTTCTTGTTAGATGTGAATCCATCCATAAACGATCTTCTTCCTGATGTTAGCAAACTGTCCCACGAAAGGAAGGTATGCGATTTTGTCGAGTTGGACTTCTCGGCACTCCTTGCCCTAGGTTTTTCCCATATCTGTAGTCATCGATTCATTTATCGAAGTTCCTTAGGAGTTAGGATCCTTTTATACAACCAGAGTGATCATGAATTAGCAGTTGTTTTCTACGGGACTCTTAAGGCACAATTAATGTCTCAAAAAATATGAATATTATTTTTGACAACAAGATTGTGAACAACTGTTTTCTTCCTTCTTCTTTTTTCCCTACTAGAAGCTTTTGATTCTCTCCTTTCATTATTTGGTTCGTTAATCGTTTGCATTTGATTAGTTTTCGAAGTGCTGAATCCTGATTTGTGGAATGTTTAGATACTGATAATGAGATCGAAAAAGAGACACAGTGAAGAGACCTCTACTTCCCTAAAACAAACACACTTCAGAGGAGTGAGAAAGAGGCCATCCATAGAAGAAAACCAGGAAATGGCTTGGAAATCAAAATTATGGCTGCACTATTAGAAAAGGGTCGTTCATGAAAAGCTTAAAAAATGGACCATGCAACTCCCTTTGGCATTGTCTTCTCTCTCTCATTGATACTGTCACTGGGTGGAGCTCCTTTTTGTCCATTTATTTGGCTATATGTGCTTGGATGATGCATATGTATACATGAATGTGTATGTTTTTTGTATTAAGCTTAAACGCACTCATTCTATGGTATGATACATCATCTTTGCTCATAAGGATGCATCCTTGGTTCTCTTAAACCACGGAGTAAATAGCTGGAAAAACCATCGTTTCGGATAATTAGATACCCGAATAATGCAACCCTTCACCCTCACTCCTACCCTACGCACACAAATACATAAGGAAGTCTTGAATAAAAAGTAGTGATGATAACAAAGTTAAAGTTCGGACTCTGGCCGGGGCTTGAGCCCGAGTTCCTCTAGTCTGAATTGGATGAGTCCAAGTTGGACCGAGGAAATTTCAATAATAAAAATTTAAAATTCAAGTGATTCTTGGTGCCTGATCATGTCTGACTCTGGTCAGACCACCAATCTTTTAAATGTTGGTTGAGAACTGTGATGGTGATGGTTGTGGTGATGATATGCAAACCTGGTGCTTATGTTGTTAAGAGTAAACACTTCTAATTTTATGAAGGAATGTCTTGTTTTGCTCAATAATTCTGGACCAGGAAAGTATACAGTACATATGCCATAATCCTTCGAAGTCCTAAATTCTAAACCCATTTACTTTGGGATAAAAAGGCTAAAGACAATTGAACATATACATAAAGGGATTGTATACTGTGAGGCCGTTCATTTTTGGAGTATATGGTATTATTGTATTTATCCCCTCCTAACACCGAAAAGTTCTAGTTTAATTCTCAAGTTATATTTTGTGTAAGAATCCCTAATTTTCTGATTTTTTGTTGAAAGCGTTTTGCAGGAAAAGAATATAGTTACACGGTGGGAGTGCGCGGTGATCTCTTTTATCAGAGAATACATTTTTTTTTTTTTTTCACCCCTTTCTTTTGGCAAAAGATCACTTACATGTGGTCTTTATTATAATAAGATAAATTTTAAAATAAAATCAGCATAACAATAAAATCAAGATCTTAACAACTTGATGTCATTGAAATAACTATGCATTATGCTTGAGAATAAAAGATAAGATTGCAAGAAACAAAACGAAGAGGCCGGTCGGGCTTATTATACCCTATACCGAGTCACCACCATCCGATGGCGCGGGATCAACGGTTTAACTTCAATATTGAATCGGGAAAGAAAATTTTGGCCAAGCCACACCAATGGAACATGAACCCCTTTGATCACAAACTCAAACCTAAGTGAATTCTCTTAGCAACCTAGCTTGAGAGAGATGAATTCTCTTTTTGCTAAACCCTAAAACTCTTAGCCATAAATCCATATTTGAAATATAGGAGAGAATAACTCTATAACTTAAACCCTTAGGTTCTTTTACAATGTGGGAGAGATAGATCAAATATGAGAGAGATAAACTTTCTTAAGAGAGAGAGATAGAAAGATAAAGTGTAGATATTTTTTGATAGAGACAATCTCTTTTTATAGGCTTTGAATAAGATTAGAGTTTTTCTTGGTTTACCTTTTCTTGCGAGTTTGAACATAAACCATCGATCAAGGGTGACTTGTAGGGTGAGAGATCTGAGCCATCCATTCTATAAATGGGCCATCAACATTATGGAAGGTGCATGAACCATTTTTTCATCAATAGAAATTAAATAAATTAAATCTAATCAAAATATTGTGCATACCATAAAATAACACAAGTCTACTCAGTCTTTCAACAAAACCTTTCAAAGATATATCAAGTCAATATTTAGTCAATATCTTCCAACTATATGACCACATGTCATATTACCAAAAAATAGGAAAGGGAATAACGGTGGGGCGTGCCACTCAAAGGAGGCACTCACCCATCTTCTAGAAATATGGTGGGTCCATGTGCACAATGGGCACCCATGATATTTTTATATATTTAAAATTAATAAAAATATTTTAGAATATTATTTGAATATTTAAACCATTATAAAATCAATATATTTAATTTTATAAATCTTAAAAATTATAAATAAAATATTTAGGGGTTCATAAAAATTCAAATAATAATCCTAAAATAATTTCCATCATAAAACAAACGTAATTAAATTAATTTGATGGGAAAATGATCCACATGGTTTAGGAATCAACAATCATGGGGCACTCCACCTTCAATTGTGGACTACAAACTACACTTGTTTCATCAGACCAACTCAATGTTTTCTATGACCCGCAGTTCAAGCAGGGGCTTATTAGCGGGTCACCAAAATCAGGCCGATGAGCTAGTGGGTCGCAATCCCAGTCTGTGGATTTCAAGTCCTCCCCTAGATACGAGTCAATGTCACTTAGACCTGATGCGACCATAGCTCTTATGGTGGATAGGGATCTCTCGTATATACATACGCTTCACTTTAAAAGGTGGATTTCTAGCTTTCCCGAACGATCTATCGATATGCATTCCGTGTGATGGCACATGGATGAGGCTTTGGCCCCCGTCTCTGTAGGCCACCATCACACACAAGGGTCACACAGTCCCTCGGCTCAATCATGTGGGCATATTCTCCGACCTCATCAAGGGCCAACTCATTAGAACCCTTCTCGGTTTGTTCTTTATGTCCAGACAACATGGGTTTTTTTCAACCGACCGGCCTAGATCGTCAAGCACAATCCGGTATTTGCAAATATCGTTTACTTAGTATGGTCCACGAGAGACCATACTTCCACTGAGTTTATGTTTTACTATATCATTTCATATTACAAGTACTCATAAGGCTTTTAAAAGCCACATAAACCCAACGGTTAGGTGAGGTGGCGGGGAAAGAGAGAGATTGTGGAATCATACCTCAATCAATTGGGACGCAATTTCTCTCCTCTTCAATGCCTCATGTTATTTGAAAGAAAATAAATGACTATTAACTATTCAGGGAAATGGCACTATTCTAAACAAGTGAAGATTTGTGGCCAGAAATGCCTCAATGATGCAAGCACGTTTAAATATGTATCTTAAAGGTAGGTTTGAAGCAAGGTCAGAAAGAAGCTTCGATCTGGGTCCAAAATGTTTCATCCGGTTTAGAGTTCATCATGGAATGGTCCCATTGTTTTCTCAGAAGAGCCCACATCCTTTGTTTGACTGCTCTTTTATTCTTATTTTCTGTCCAATTTCTCCCATTTTGATAGTGTGCCTTGACGAATATTTTGAAATGGAAAAAGTTTATATAGAGCCGAGGTTCAACAATTAAATTAGAGCACACATCAAATATTTTACTAGAAGAGGTCGTTTTGATACCCAAATATCGTCAAATTGATCATCTCGACATCATGATACATGGACATGGATTTCAAATTTTGGAAATAGTGCATCTTGTAATGTATTTTTGGACCGTCAATTTTCAAGATTTTCAAATTTCATGGATCTACTTGATCTATACTATTTTTGAAGCTTTAAATTTTATAATTAAAGATAAAAATATATTTTAAGGCTATCACGAAGACTTTCAGCATTGAACCCACATTTCTCAACATTATTTAAAGGTACGTTTTATTTTGATTGTTTAGAGCGTCGGCTCTATACAAACTGCGCCCTTTTGAAATAATATTTAGAACTCTACTATAGGCTTAGTAAGTAAAAATAATCACTCAAAAAAAGAAAACCATTAAATGATTTATAGCATATTTATTAAAAAGACAATTACTTTAAATTATTTATAGTCTTAGGGGATTAAGAAATGGAGTAGTACTATTGTGCGACTAAGAAATTTTGGCTTCCCATTTTTCCTAAATTACAAAATTAAGTTCGAATTGTTTGTGCCACATTTACCTAATGATAAGCACATAATGGATCAAATTTCGAGTAAAAATTTGTATCTTATGTACAGTTAATTTAAATACAGGTAATATTAAAAAGGAAGTAGTTTATATAAGGTGTCATTTTATTGTAGAACTGAGGTGCAAGTATAAAAACTCTATGCATAAAGGTTGTTTTGACATTGAAAACAATTGATCTTCTTGACCTCGACATATGTAAATATGAAAAAAAAAAAAATCTCAAGTCTTAAAAATAGTACGTCTTATAGCATTTTATCTAGAAAGTCTATTTTAAAGTATTTATGGATTTGCTTATTCTACAACATTTCTGAAGATCTCAATTTCATAACTAGGGGTAAAAACAGATTTTTAGGTCATTATAAGAAATTTTAGCATCAAAACTGTATCTTTTAGCAAGATTAGAGGTATGCATTTGATTGTTCAAGATTGACACCTTATACAAACCACATTTTATTAAAAATCATATGTTATGTTTTATTTCTAAATTTCTTTAAGTTTCTCTACATTTTCCAAAAACAATTACCTGGCTAAAAGAATTACACTTTTAAAAACAAAAAGACCTCCAAAATGGGAGTATAATCAAAATAATTTTTCAGCATTGAATCAATCCAATGGTTCCAAAGTCATCGATCCATGCTAGAATTAAAATCCATTAAATGATACATATATCGTGGAAATATCTGAACCTCCCAATTATCTCACATGAGAATCGATCTAGCCCTCAATTTCCATATCACCTCGTAGCGAGGCATGCTCTTTGTACTCTCCTATTGTGATTCCGTAGGTGCACAATGTAGATATCCTACCTCGGGGAAAAAACCTACTTAGGAGGAACTTTTCCATCTAAAATTTGGAATCTTCTTTAGAGTAACTGGATTAGTATTTTTCAACCTACATTATTTGGATTTTGAGTTGCTAAACGCTTGGATCTAACCATGTGAAAATTGGACAATCTTTGCTTAGTATTAGAACATCATAAAAGCATTTGAAATTTATTTATTTCTTTTTGAAGTTGGTCCCCATAATATGGGGGCCGAGGTGCTTCCTCACACAAACTATATGTTTAAGGTAGTCTTTTTTATTTATTTATTCTTGCATCTACCCCAAAAGTAAGAAAGCTTAATTTTTTTTGAATCAAAATACCTTCATTTTAATCTACTTTTTTTTCTCTCCCAAAATGTGATGACCACACATGTGGCCCAGTACAAAAATAATAGTGTGGTATAAAAAAAAAGTATCGAGGGAGGGGCATTGCATGAGAAAGTACAGGGATATCTATAAATTTTCCAAAATTTTACCTATGGAGCAAAAGCAGGATATATACTCTATGCTCCTGCAAGAGCATGAAACTTTTTGGCTTTTATCTCACGGAACAAAGACAAATTGTCCACAGACTCGCTTGCTATCCGTCTGTGGCCACACACTCCACACCACACTCACTCAAATTCCAGCCACCGATGCATGTAACCCACAATACAAAACAGTGAAAGAGAGAACATTTTCCATGCAAAAGGATACAGAGAATGAGAAAACCTTGTTCATAGAACGATAGAGAGAGGAGAAACCATTGATCTGGAATCATTTATTGAGCAATGGTTTGTGCTCTGTGAAATTCTTCGAGCAAATTGGCTTTGGGCTGAGCTGAGAAATGGCCCCGGAGTTCGAGCTGCCAGAGGCGCTGCGGGCTGTGCTCCCGGCAGACCCTTACGAGCAGCTGGACGTGGCGCGGAGGATAACGTCAACAGCACTGTCGACGCGGATTGCGAAGCTCGAGGATGACATGGTGACGCTCCGAGAGGCAGTCCAGGAGAGAGAAGAAGTCATCACCCAACTCCAAGAGAACATTGAGAAGTTGGAAGTGGCACTGGAAGAGAGCAGTGAGAAGCTTGCGAAGGCCCTGGAAGAAAAGGTATGGTTTTTTTTACTAGCTTTTCCTTCTTTCATTGGTAACTAAGTTGCTTTTGCGGGATCTTTTTGTTATGGATTTTGACTGAACTCTGAAAGTTTGAATTAAGAGCTCTTTGAGTAGGGATTTTACTTCATCGAATTGAGTGGTAAACGTGTTAAGAATTGTGATGGGAGAATTTTGGGCCATGGGCCTTCTCTCTCTCGTAATGGTTTCTGTGGAGAGAGAGAGAGAGGAGTTCAGGGGCTGAGAGAGAGATTTTAGATAGAGAGAGACTCTGTGGCCTCATCTGATCTCAGTTCCGGGAAAGGGATCGACCCCGGGGTAAGTTTTAGACATGGCAATTACTTAAAAAGGTGTCGATTTTTTATATTAAACCAGGAGTAGTTTTGTATTTTTATAAATAAATTAAAAAAAAACTTTTTTTTTTTTGTGGATAGAAAGTAAAAAAACTGGATCTTTCACAATTGGCCTCTCCCGAAAACACGCTCCTCCCTTTTAGTAATTGCATTTTCCTCTCAAACTTTTATTCACATTAGAAACTACCTCAAAAACTGAGCAAACTGGTCAAAACAACCAACAACAACTACAAAATGGTTGCTTTAGTAAGTTCATTTTAATGAACTAACTCAAATATTTTTGCAAAAAATTGGGCACATTTTTTATTTATTTTTTTGATAATTTTAGCTTATAATGTAAGTTGAGTCAAATTACCTATCAGGATTGTCTACAAAGAGACCATTTATTTTTGGAAAATTGTTTCAAGTGAACTGGATTGCATTTCTACATATGCGATCCAGAAGTATAAAGCATCCGCTCCATCTAAAAACAATAGAAACGGTACAAATATTTTCTTATTAGAATGATTATTTTAATTTTTAATTTATTTATATTTTCATATGCATGATCTCCATGTTAGAGATTACATGTACTTAAAAATTAAGTCTTAAAATCCATCTCAAAAATAGGTTTATTAAGAGGCTTGCATTTCTATATGTGCGGGCTTGGCCACATAGAAACCGGATCATTTATTTTTTTGAATATAGAGGTCACAATCATTCTTATCTCTTAAATTTCAAAATGGATGGCTGTACGAGTGTCATTGAATAGACACAAAGTTCTAAAAAAAAAAAAATTTGCTTGCTTCGTGATTCACCCCAAGCCATCCCATTTGACATATCTAATGAGTATAAGTGATTGTGACCTTGAAAGAAGGACAAATGAGATCTAGCTAGAGTATATACCATATATATATATTAATTATTTTTTTATCTTCACGGTTTAGATCACTCACAAGAAGTCATTTTACAATATAACAACTTCAAATAAAATAAAATAAAATAATCAAATAGGATCTCAAGAACTTTAAGCCATTGAAAACCACATTTTTCATTAATAAAGAAAAGGCACAATCTATGCTTGGAATAAAAGATATAATAAATAAATATGGAAAAAACAAAAGAAGGTGCCAGAGCTTACCTCAACCGGGGTTCTTACACTCCAGACCTAGTCACCACCTTTTGATGGTGCGAAATCTAATGGTCAGCCTTCAATCTCAACCAAGAAAGCAAGTTTGGACAAATCACACCAATGGAACATGAATCCATTTGATCACAAACTCAAACCTTAGGTGAATCCCCTTAACAACCTAGTTTGAGAGAGAGATGCTCTCTTTTCTATCATAACCCTATAATCTGAGAGATCGTGAGAGAGTAACCGTGAGAGAGTAAAGAGAGCCACCATGAGATGAGAGAGTGGTGTGCCTCATATGGCTATCTTAAGAGAAACTTTCTTAGATGGGAGAGAGAAGAAGTCAAGAGAGCATGAGAGGTGCGTGCCCCCCCTTAGCTTTCATGAGAGAAGAGAGAGAGTTTTGAGAGAGATAGAGTTTCTAAGTCGGGTGTGCCCCCTTTGGTAGGTTAAGAAAGAGATAAAAAGATAAGGTGTAGAGATTTTGGGTAGCGACAATCCTTTTTTATAGTGCTTGATCAAGATTAGGGTTTTTTAGGGTTTTTCTCGGCTTGCCACTCACATGAGATTGAATATGACCCATTGATCTTGGGTAACTTGTGGGTGAGGGATCTGAGCTCTCTATTCCATAGATAGGCCATCGACAACTTATGGAAGGTGTTAGACCATTATCCCCCACTTCCTAAATCATTTTCTCATCAATTAATTCAAATAAGAAATAAATATATCATAATATTATCATTTCTTATTTCAAGCATAATCATTCTCATACATTTCAATATATTAATCAAACATTCCTCAAGGTTTCAAACTTTTCAAAACAACACAAAACCTTCTCTCAAGCTTCAAGCTTGAACACCAAATAGGAAAGTTGCTATAGGTGGGGCGTGCCACCCATGGTGGCCATGCAATGGTGGACCCAAAAGACCTATTGGGCCTCCCATGCATATTTAATTTATTTCATATTTTTGAAAAAGCACAAAATTATTATTTGAATATTTAAATTATTATAAAATCAATATCTCTATTTTTATAAATCCAAATTTGATAAATAAAATATCCATAGATTTAGACAAATTCAAAAAATAATTCTAAAAATCAAATATAATAAAATATAAATAAAATCAATAAACCTTGATGGGAAAATGATCCATATGGTTTAGGAACAAATATCAACTGGGGCACTCCATGTCCAACAGCGAACTACGAACCACGCATGCTTTCTCAAATCGACCTAGTGTTGCTCATGACCCACAGTCTATGCAGGGGATCATTAGTGGGTCACCAAAGTCATGTTAATGGGCAAGGGGTCGTAGTCCCAATATATGGATTTCAGGTCCTCTAGGAGACAAAACGCCAAGGTCATCCTGACCTTGATGTAATCCATGGCTTGATGGTACACAGGGGGTATCTCTTACACATACACACGATTCATCTTAAAAGGTGGTACGTTTTTCCAAAAATAGCTATCAATGTTCATGTCGTGTGATGGAACAAATGATGAGTATTTGGCCCCGTCCCTCAAGGCCTCCATCACACATAAGGCTCACATAGTCCATCGGCTCACTCATCTAGGCATACTCCAGCCTCATCAAGGGATAACCCATATAACCATCATTAGTACAATTCTCATAGCCCATGAAACATGGGTTTTTCCCAACTAGACTGACCCAACACGTCAAGCACAATCTAGTATCAGCAAACAACGTTTGCTTAGTATGGTCCACAAGGGAGCACACTCCCACTGAATTCATGTTCTACAATATCATTTCATTTTACAAGCACACGTAAGGCCTTTAGTGGCCACACTCATCCAACAAACTTCCATGTACAAAAGACAAATTGTTGCTCTATAGACGATCCCTTATCTAAATGACCCAGTGAGTTTTGGATTTGCAAACTCAAAACAAAAGATAATGGAAAGACATGGTTCTGATTTGAAACATGGAATAAGCAATGGTATTTACTCCATCTATGGCACTTAAGTGGGCAAAAGTATCAAAATGCCCCTGTTTGATGAGGATATCTAATTCATAATTGAGGCATTTTGGGTATTTTTTATGGGATAGTTTAAGGGATATTTGAGTGAAATGTTCTAAGGTAACGGCTTTGTCGATGGATTGGTTGATTTGACCTCATCGATGAGACTATTTTAGTGATATTTTATTGGATTAAAGAAACATACAAACAGCTGTGGGCTTGACAGTCAAATTTGGTTTCCCATATTACTGTTGTTTGTACAGGAGAAGCTAGCTGAGCAAAACATTTCATTGTCTAATAATGTAAACAAGCTCAATCGAGATGTGGCCAAGGTAAGCTGATTCTTAAGACCTTTATGATTGTGATTCTATCATTTGTTTCTCTTTTTCTTTTGTCATCTCAATTATTGAAATGTTCTATAGGCAAGAATATTTCATGGAACTTTTGATCCTAGTTAAAGAAAAATTTCTGACAAAGCTCGACTCTGGTCAAAAAATGTCGGAAAAAAAATACAGATGGAATCATGGAATTATCATATCATTGAACTAAAGAATAGGGAAACCTTTTGTTCTTTTATTCTTGGAAAGGCATGGTTATTGCACAATTGATGAAGTGCACAATTTACTATTATATTGATTGTATTATCTAAATAAGGACATGCATGTTTGTGGTTTGTGGCCCATGCTGACACACCAAGAACATGAGTGACTCACACTTTAGAATTTTAGACTCTTCTTGTTAACTTTTCTTGTTTATATTTCAATATTGATGGTGTGATTGCGCAATAAGATTTTTTCTGAAAAAGAGAATAGCCATTGGAAGACCAGCAACTTCAAATCTAAGGAAGTATTTGAGAGGTAATTAAAGCCCTTTCATAATGGCTTCACTACCATGGCTGGTAATGATAACAGCATTTGCAATCTATAAGTTAACAGCATTCACCATCTAGAAGTTCACTATTTGTCATTTGAATATGTTGGGTTCCAATCAGCGTTATCAGAAGTTGACTAGACAACAAAATAGAAAAGTGTTCTTTCTGGTTCAATTGGCAGTTCAACTGAGCACCAAATTGATTGGACCAATCAAAGCCATAAAATATATCAAAAATCTTTTATAAATTACATTTAAGGATGGTTTTTCTCCAGATCCAGGTTTTTATTGGACCAAACCAGTTGGTGGTCTGGATGACGATCCAACAGGTCGGATCGGTTGGTTCTGTTCAGTTCTAATAACACTAATTCCCAGTCGGCAGCTTACTATCTGTAAGCTAGACAGAAATTCAAGATTGCCTTAAATGCATATGGACCATTTAGAGAACTCAGATGCAGCAATTTTGAATTATTTTATACTATTTTCCCATACTAAAAAAAATTGTGTTTCCTTATATTGGCCTTTTTACCTGATAGCTTTGCCTTTACCATAGCCTGGCTCGTGGTTCATTTCATCCTTGTGGTCGAGTTCTGCTTTACTACTTAATCAAGAGTTTCTTTGTCGCTGAAACTTCTCTAAGGATTTTAATGAAGTTGGGTTTCAACCAATGCATTCTCATAGACCACATTGCTTGGACATTGTCTTTTTGTTGGTATTTTACTTGTTAACATAACCATGCCCATCATTTATTAGACTTGGTGTTTATTCCTCATGCCTCTTCTATGTTTTCCCGTTGAGAAAATTTTCTTCGGTCATGTTATCCACTATGTACTTGATTCTTCCACCTCTATGTTACTCCAAATAATATAAAATTATCATGGAGGAGTCTAGCCTTCTTCAAAAAACCTTATCCTTATTTGGTGGTGTCATCACGAAAAGGATTGAAAATGTTGACCCGCACAGCTCAAAAACTTACTCTAAAATGAAAGAAGATATTGGGGCCTTATTATTTGGTTTGGTTTTCATTGTAATCAGCATAATTTGCAGATTCATATCTCTCAAAAACTTAGCAGGTTTGTTTAAGTTTCTTAATCTTCAAAACCATTTATCATGATTCTAGGAATATGCTTTTCTGTTTGTAAGAACTTGTTTTGTAACCAAGTCATGGAAAACATTCTTTCTGGCAAGAATATCATCATTATAAATAACTTCAAGGATAACCTTACAAGTGCTTTCATAAATCTACAGACTTTTCTTTTGCAGCATCTATTGTCTGTGCTTCTTGTAAGCATTGAACTTTGTATATTTGCAGTTGGAGATCTTCAAAAAGACTCTCATGCAATCCCTTCAAGAGGAAGAAGAGCCCTCTGTAAGCATTTCAAGATTGTAGTTCTGTATTCTTGTTAATCTCTCATTTGGAGGCGTTGAAATTAGTTTTGGATTAAAATGGCCTGTGCTTAGTGAAAAGCCAAGGAAACAATACAACTGCTTTAATATGGATATTCCTTTTCACAGCAAACTGGAGCTGCCCAGGTATCTGAAAAAAAAATACCAGATCCAAACAACATTTCATCCCGATCACTCCTAGGAGGTAATTGTTTTTGTCCATGGTTTTTCTCTATCCATGTGCCAACTATGAACAATAAACCTCATTTCATTTCTAACTTCTCTCCCAAAAAAAGTTCATTTCAATCGATGTGCGGTATTTAACAGAGGATGATGCGGGTTTGCAACTTCTGAAGCCATCTGAATTGCAAACTCAGGTCTCGGACACTGGAAATTCAGCTTCAGAGGATGGAAGTTCAACTGAACCAGATTGTATGCATACTTACAATAGAGAATTGCTTGGTTCTATTCAAATTTATACATTTGAAGGTTTACTACATTTTACTGGCTTATAAAAAAATTTATAATTGGCAGCAACAAGGTATAGTTCTTCCCGTCAATTTTCATTTGCATCCCAAGGTGGCACACCAAGGCTCACTCCTCCAGGATCTCCCCCTCGAGTTTCAGCTTCAGTTGAACCAGATTGTATGCATATTTACGATAGAGAATTGCTTCCTTCTATTAAAATTTATACATTTCATGTTTTACTACATTTTACTGGCTTATAAAAAGTTTTATAATTGGCAGCAACAAGGTATAGTTTATCCCGTGGACTTTCATTGGCATCCCAAGGTGGAAGGCTTACTCCAGGTGGCACACCAAGGCTTACTCCTCCAGGATCTCCCCCTCGAGTTTCAGCCTCAGTTTCTCCTACCATATCGTCGAAACCAACAACACCACAGCGACATTCAATTTCAGTGTCAACTTCAAGGGCCATATTTGATGATAGATCTTCAATTTTTTCGTCAATGCCTACCAGCCATACCACTACTACTTCAGGTTCTCCTGAATCAGGATCACATACAGGTTTGTTCCAAGAATATATTATAGCCATCATTGAGACATTCCTCATTGTTAGTTATTTCATTATGTCAATGCTTCTTAAACGTTTCACTTTTAATTTCTTAATCAATAGTTTCACATAAATTTGAATCAGGAAAGCATGTCATTTAGATTCTTAAGTGTGCCTATTTGTAGTAGAATTCTCAATGGTGCATCTCATCAACACTTACAAAAAAAGCAATTCTTAATGACTCTTAACAACTTCCAGATGGTTAACCTTTGAGTCCATCGGGGGCAACATATTTTGCATCCTTCAAATAGAACATAGTGGATTGGATGCTTTGAACTAGAGCTATGCAAATGCAAGTGTGGAATCCGCCATATAGTGCGAACTATTGTGCCTTCTCTACCAAAATTGTATTATGCAAAACTTCTTTTTTTTACTATTACTGCCAAATGCATTCTATTTCATTTTTTGATCGTGCTGATTGTGCTTGTTACTTAGGTAGATATCTTCAGAGCCCTCAATAAACAACTGTGGGTTATAGTTCATCCCTTGGACATATTGGATTATTACCGTGTTCTTCATGTGCAATATTGAATTTAAATTCGAGTCAAACAACTGATTGCTTTCTGCTCCCTCAGCTAGTCACCTTTACATGCAAATTTTTATGTTCCACTTGTCCCTCGTACATGCTTATACTTTTTGGGTCAAGGATAGCTTGCTTAATGACAAATGGATTTTATTTATTGGTTTGAGGGTAGTCTGCTTGATGGCAATCACATTTTATTTTAAGAACTTACTGATTGATGAGGGAATGTTGGCCATCTTATTCAAAATTATCATGCAAAATTCAGTAATGTGGCCAAATTTAAATGCATTAAAATCAAATGTATGATGATACCCAATGGCGCATTGCAAATTATATCTTTTATGGTCTCAGCATTTTCAAGTTGGGCTTGGTATGACAACCCTGCATTGATGACCTGATTTAACTCTATCTAATTGTAGTGTATATGAAATAAAAACAAAAACAAAAGTAATAGAAATATAATGAAATGTTAGATGATGCATCTATAACATTATGGCAATTGATTATTCTGAAGTGCCTGAAATTGGCAAAGTAAAAAATAGAGGATAATGTTGTTAACAGTCAAAAAAATCTGAAATGGTAAAGCATGTTCTAAGAATTTCTAGAAGGTTGAAAATTTGCTTCAAGGTTTTCACTATCAAGTTAATGGTTATAATCTGTTTCAGCACGTGCACGAGTCGATGGGAAGGAATTCTTTCGTCAAGTCAGGTATTTTCATGGACAACTGGAAACTAATGCTTTTTTTCCTTTATAAATTTATCAAAGTGTCCGAAGTCCGAACCCATTGTAAAGGCTAGCATCCTGCAAACTTGGCCCATTTGTTTATTTCACATGGTCTATGGTCCGTGCTGTTCACCTTCTATGGATCATATAATATATATGCTATGTATATTCTAGATTCTCCTTTTCCTCCGGTGAATTCACAGGTTCTTTATTGTGGTTTGCTGCATCCTTAATGATCTATACCTGCTATAATGAAATTGTTGACCTGTTTCCAGGAGTCGATTATCTTATGAACAGTTTGGTGCATTCTTAGCCAATGTGAAGGAACTGAACTCTCACAAACAATCAAGAGAGGTCTCTCTCTCTCTCTCTCTCTCTCTCTCTCTCT